TAATAATATATAATATATGTAATATAATTATATGTGTATATATATGTATATATACACTAAAACATAAATGCTCATACTGGTTCAAACTGCAGATCCATCTATCCAGGATCCTGTCACTGACAGTGTTCAACCATGAGTAATAATAGGGAAGAATAATATGGACATGGTATCATGCAGAGGCATTCACAGATGCATTGGACTTTGCAGGAACAGAGCAAAATGTTTTTGTAAAACCCACTGACATGCAGTTATCTCACTGTTTACTGAGAAGAACAGCTGGCATAGCTGAGGAAGTAATGGGGCCATTGGGAATACTGCTAGAAAACTTTAAAGACGTTCTTTAACACTAAACCATATTTCCAAAATGATCCGTTTTCAGTGAGTTAAACCCATTGGTTTCCTCTTTTGGTGATCAGACAGGCATATTTTCTGGAAAGGGGACTATTGATAAAGGGAAGTATTAAATATTCACCTCTTGGTTGAAAGAATCTTAATCTTTGTTGTGAAAAGCAGATTTGTTATGAAAAATATTAACTATTTGATGAATATCCACATTATTAAAGTTCTTATTGTAAATTAATAGCATCAAAATTATTCAGCAATTGAGAAAAAAGTGTTTGTTTTGTTTAACCATTTTTAGTATAGTATCACGTTATATGATTCTATTTCATGTTTACAGCTAACAGAGATCCTATAGTGAAAATTCTCGGCCCTGAATATGGGTCTGTTGAAGGAGAAGATATGTCTATGTTGCATTTACTTGAAAGAGTTAAAAAAGATGATGACCCTGAAACAGAGATTAAAATGAGAATCTTTCTTCTTCTTCGTCAGCTGGACTTGCAACTGCTTAATAGTTCTTTGAAACACATTTCACAGTAAGTGCATTTCAAATGGAAGCTAAGCATGTCAGCCAGTGCATATTTTTGTTTTAATGTTAAGTCAGATTGTCTTCAACCCACAACATGTGCTTTTGGTGTGACATAAATAAATTTATTGAAATAACTTTCACTGGTCACTAAGTTACTGAAAAAACACTTTTTTGCTGATTTTGCTGTAGGTGTGTGTATGCAACCATGTGCCCACAAGTGTGGGTTTTTTTATTGCATATGTTTTGTGTTTTGGTAGCAAATTGAAGTAATTTGTACAAACAACTAAGCTACAGTTAAATATTTTCAAGAAAATGTTTGTCTCTTCATGGAAGCATATGAAGTATTACACTGAGCCTGTTACATAGTTACAAGGACTTCATATTAGCTATGGAGCTAAAATTTCACTGAACTAATGGATAAAATTAAGAAAAAGGATGGAAGGTGACCCATTTCCATATTTTTGTTGCTACTCTTACGACTCAGTGTGAAAGAAAATAATGTAATATTCTCATTTAATTTCTCTGAGTATATCCTTTTGATGAATACATTGTTGACCATTTTCTATTAATTGCAGAAACATAAGACTAAATCCAGCTGCTATATGTAATGAAGTGAATCTTCTCAAGAATTTCTCTGGGGAAGGAGAAGATACAGTACTGGAAACACTGGAATATACATCAGGTCCAGATCTGATTGTATCTCATGTTTATATATACCCTTATTAAAGTACTTGACTTTTGTGTGCAATTTGCTAAATTAATTTCAGTAATGAATTTGAAGTGTTTATCTCTACTTTGAAGTTATAAAGTGAAATAAAACATATTTTCAGATGAATGCTGTTCTTCAGCCTTTAGTTATAGAAATAATCTCCAATCATATGAATTTATTCAGTGTAAATAGATGAAGTAAACTGAGTCCCTGGTCCTGAAAAGCACTAAGCACAGTTGCAGTTCTTAGTTGGACTGGGCCATGGGTTGCAGAACTTTGCATGATTAATTCCTAACTGAGTATGAATTCTTAAGAGTAAGGTATTGTTTTGAGAATTTTATTTGTATACATGACATATTAATCATAAAGCATAACTATTAAAATACTTTTAAACTGGATGAAAACACTAATGCTAACTGGTTACAGATTACGTGTTCTCTAATGGATGCCGAGCTCCCCCCTGGAGACAAGTGCATGGAGAAATTTGTTATTTAGTCATCAAGCCACATGACACTGATCCTTTGTATATCACTTGCAGCACAGCAGGAGTGTTTTTAAATGGAGTAAGTAATAATAAAGGATTCCATGGAGTAATGACTATTTTTACATGCTAAAATAAAAAATCCATCAGATTTGGGGTAGTGGTGGTGAGGCTGTAAGACCTACTGAGTTAGTTTATTGGTGCAGAAGAAGACAGTAATAAATGTATGCTAGTTTCCCCATATGGTCTGTGTACTTTTTCTATAAGTTTTATACTGCAGTTTTTGCTAGCAGTGTTTGGTCAGTCTTTAAATGTGCCCTAACAGTCCTTCACACTATTCCTATTTAAGGGTACTGTGGGTACTGTACTACATGCAGCTCTAGTTCCTCTTCAGTCTTCGTCTGAGGTGTAATATTGTATGTGGCTAATATAGCTTGCTTTTCTCTATTTTATAAGTAATGAGCAGTTCTTTCTCCTTTCAGTGGAAGCTTTTTAGAATGTATCTCTCGTCTACTTTTCATTTTGGTTACTTCTTTACTTACAGATAGGCATAATTTTTATTTAGGCATAATTGTGCCGTATGTGTGTTAAGCAGTGACCAGAGCTCTAAGATTCATTTTGAAGAGAGGCTGATGTCTGCCATGTGTAACTTCACAAACTGATTTCCTAAGAATTAAAAAATCCAGGGAAATATTGACTTAGCATGTTTTTAATGGATGAAGCTCGTAAAGGTTAGGCTAGTCAGGTCACATTATTTTCTGATCCTTTTAGACATCTGTCATACTGCACTGAAAGCTCATATTTACTTGGTGGTTTGCCATAAGCCATAAATTCTTCTTCAGTGGTACTACACACAGTATAATTAACTGATAGTAATTACTTGCAGAATTCTGTGCAATATCCTGATTATGTGTTGGCATTCGTGGAGATGGTCCATGCATCTTTAGAAAGTATTACTGAAGTTTGATGAGCATGTCACTTCTGTACCTAATTCATTACAATATGACCTCTGTGCTTTTTAGCACTATTTTATGATACAGATTAAATTACCTGTGGAAGGTAATACTATTATTAACTATAAATTTATTCTTTTTTAAGGGTCAGCTAAAGGGTAAAGATGACATTGACTATGAAAGAAAAAGTGATGTGTATAAAGATATTGTCACATTTCTAAGGGAGAGATCACCTAGATTTGTAGAAAATATGGCTAAACAGGTATGTATATACTGATACCGGGTGTATATTCTACTTTGTACAAATGTACATTGTACATGGGTAAGAAACTATAAACCTGGCTGAACATTTATGTTCTTTATCAAAAATAAATCTGTGATTAAATGAAGAATTTTAAAGATTCTGAAATGCATTTATCAGTTTTCTTTGATTTGTTTCAGTTTCTACTAAATATGTTCCATTCGCAAATAGTACACTATTTCACATATCATTCTATCATACCTTATTATGAAGTTTGATTCAACATGTGAGGTCAGCTTCTAATTTTGCGTTAAAAAATTTGCTCATCTTCTGCTGTCATTCTTTATGGAGCACTGGAAATGCTAAAGCTGGAAAATATGATCTCTTTATGGAAAAGGTCAACTTTTTATGACAATATTTTTCTGTGATTGAAACCACTTAAATTTTTATCTTCATTCTTTGCAACCCAAATATAAATAATAGCCCAAGTTTTTTTATGAGAACTGCCTGATTTAAATATCAGAGCTGAGAGGCATCCAGCTTACACACTATGTGTTGCTTCAGCCACTGTAAAATACAAGTGTTTTGGCTTTTATTTAGAGCTTTGTATTAGCTAGAATCATGTAGTGGCTCTGCAGTTTTAGTTGTTTTCTCATTCCTGATAAAACCTCTTTTATCAGATTTCTAGTGTGGTTATGACAGAGTATCTTGGTAATAAAATTAATTAAAGGCTAAATCCTGTCAAAAGTTTCATTGTGGTTAATTATATGCAATTTTAATTATTGCAAGAATAAAGTCATTAACAGGGAAATTTTCTTAATCTTTAGTTCTTTCTTTGTAGGATGTAGGGCTGATACTTAATTTTTCTGAGGTACACATATTTGCCGGTCCCTGAAGAAAAGAGTATTTCAAGTTGTACACATATATAGAGTAGCTTATATTAACAGTAATGGAATTAAATTTGTAAGTTGTTCTGTTTGAAAGTGCAGTAAGTTCCAAAATGTATTTTATTTATCCCATAGGCAAGTATTTTTTTAACATTATATCTACATTTTGATTTCCATTTCATAAATGTGACAATATGTGAATGTTTTTAGAAATAATTGCTGGTTTAATGTATTTTTAAAGTGATTTGGCTTCATTCAGCGGTCATGAAAGCTAAAATATGGCACTACTTGAATAATTTTTAACAGTTCTAATCCTAAACCCTAATATAGATTAATGTTAATATGGATAATAGAGATAACATACCTTTCTTTACTGTTTTTCTACTCTTATAAAGATGCTGTAGCTGTTCAAGAAATGTGTACACTTATTAAATAAAAGTAAATAAATTGAATGTATCCTCTTTTTCTTCAATTGTCATAGAAATCACAGGCTCCGTATTCCCTGACTCTGTGAATAAGTTTATGCTGAAAAGTATAAATAATACTATTTTAATGGTTTAGGAATATCATCATATTCCCTTGCTGCAAAGCTGGTTTAGTGCATTCTGCATTCTTAAACCAGAATTTAAACAGGTTAATACCCTAGAGCTACAGAGCATTTGTATTTGAGGGAAAATCTTCTCTACTCTAGAACTTTGAAAAGCAGGGAAAATCTGCCTACATGAAATAAATTATGACTAAAAATAGTTTTGATTTATCTTCTGAGGAGAGGAGAGCTTCAAAAAGCTCATGACGTACACATGTATTGCAAAAATCAATTAACTTTTATAGTATCTTCTTGGCCTTGTTTAAGCTAACACTTCGAATTGCTGTGTTGGCATATAGTGCTGTTGGAAACATACTTTTTAACATGTGCTTAGCTGGTGAAGCTACAGCATCAATTCTCCTGTGGTTTGTATAGTTTATAATGTGTTAAATTGTCTTGTCTAGAGTACATTGTCAGAATGAGAGAATTAGCATGAGTCAGTTTATGATTAGACAGTTGGGTCAGCAAGCCTGGAACAGCCGATTCACATCAGGACTAGTTGAAAACAGACCATACTGTGACAATCTCCTTAAAACTGCCTTGAATCAGATACATAAAGGAATGTCTTCACCTATCTGGTAGGGACAGCTGCAATAATAATAATATGTAACGATCATATGCTATCTTTCCTGCAAAAATTGAATATGTTCCAATAGAGAATAAGAGTTGACAAGAGTTCTTTCTATTCTGGATATTTTTGATCGGCCATGGTACTAGACACAGACAGCTGAAAGACTGGTAGATGCCACTCAGCTCCATTCTTGTATGTGAGTTGCTCAACAGAGTTTTGTCCTGAGAAAAATTAAAAAAAGATGAAAAGAAGATGAAAAAACAGAAATGGAATGTGTTTATATTAATTCTAAACTATATCAAATTAAATTACTTGGAACTGAAGCCTAGCAGTTTATCATAGCCTATTTTCAGTTTTTATGTTCATTATTTTGGTGGGAATTTTCTGTAAATTCTTTGTGCAGTGGAATTGTTTTTATGTAAATGATCAATTGAAAGCAGAGTGACTCTGCAACTCTAGATTTTAAAACTCATTTGGAATTAGGTACTATAAAAGTGTTTGTTGCATAAATTATTTAATATTTTAGAAATTGAACAACATGCAATATTCAAGTACATTCAGGAAGTTCTAAATTGAGCTAGTTCATTTATTTAAAAAACTTCCATTTGCACACGGTAACAGCTACTTTCCAGATTAATGTTTCATTCTTTTAAAGACAATCTGTTTCTATGCTTACAATCTAATTCTGCATTTAATACACACAGTTTTTATGCACAGCATCCTGGAATTGTGCTTATAACTTACCGTTTTAATATGCATTATTCATATAACAGTATGACTGACAAACCATGTCTCCTTATTTTCTTAGGAATATATTTTTTTTAAAGAACCAACATATGAGAAGAATTACCAATGTATGGAAGTAGTTGATGCTCAAGTCTCTGACCAAGCCCAGAATGTTAATGATTTTTTAGAAAAGAACGTAGATGAGAAAGTGAAAAGTTCTGCTGCAAGGAGGAGACTCATTGACAAGAAGAAATTGGAGCCATCTATGAACTGGAAGAATACTGGGATTTCTGTTTTCCACAGATAAGTAGTTATCTTTATAATTTATTTCTCCTATAGATCTCTCTAAACTCTGATGATGATTGGACTGCATGATACAGGTTTGCATTATTATCTTAAGTTGGGAGCTATAAAACAAAATTTACTACATGTTAATTTCTAAGAAGAGAGTATAGACTACCAAAGAGATTTCTCAGTTTTCTTCTGTCATGCTACAGCTTTGATGACGTTATGTCATTTCCACAGAAAGGCAGGGACATATCTTGCAACCATCTGCAGTACTGGTCCTACAGTACTGTGATATTACCATATTTTTGGTGTAAAATGCCCTTTAAAGCAAGACAGAGTAGACAATCTAATCTAAACCAGTCTTCTGAGGGAGGCAGAAGAGATTCAGGATGGAAAGTCAGGATGACTCTTACACTACTGATTTTTAGTGATTTTGTATTACATTCATATTCATATTATATAAGCCACTTTTCTAGCTCTGTTTAGCAACAGTCTTCACTCATGAGATTATCTCAAAGTTTTGACACCCAAAAATAGAGTATTGCATATATTGAATATTGTTGGATTTGTCTTCCTGATTTTGTGTTAATGAAGGAAGAAGAATGTCTGAGGGAAAGGCCTTGATTGCCATCCTACAAAAAAAAGTCAGTATCTTCTCAAGTCTGCCAATTTGACATGTTGCAAGAAACATTTTAAGAGAATTTGGATGTAATTTACAACCAAAGGTTAAAAAAACTTGGTTTCCCAGGGACAAAAGCTTATCTTTTTCCACAGTCATTGTTAGCGTCTAGATGTAGTGAAATTGTCTGTAATCATGAGTAATGCTCGCTTTTATTGTTGTGATAGTATGACCAGACCAGGCTCAAAAGGACATTTTGTTTTCACAACGTTGTGAATTAGGGATGAAGAAGCACCAGAGATTGTGACCAGCTAGGCCTAGGAGTATTCTTGGAGTATAAGAAAAGCAAGATATATTGTATGCAGCATGATCAAAGCTATGGAATGGCTTAGTGTGTGGAAGAACTGGGAAGACTAGAACTCTTTTGCTTGGAAAAAGGATGACTGTGGGACACTAAGACAAATATAAAAACTCATGACTGGAGACAGTAAATAGGGAACAGATAGTCACTATCCCCTCTAATACAAGAACAAAGGGCATCAAATGAAAATGAGACAGTGAGACCAGTTCAGAATAAAGGGAGAGACTTCATGCAACACATGGCTAAGCTCTAACATTCTTTGCCACAGGATGGTAGAAGCCATTTGTTTATCTGAGTTTACAAAGCAACCAGACACACACAGTCATGGAAGAAAAATCCTTCCAAAACTGTTATCACCAATTCCCTGAATTACAATCTGCTGAAGAATATTCTGGAAAAAATTTCCATGTTCTGTTCTACTGTTACCTAGATTGCTGCTATTGGTAATGGTTGGAGATGACCAACAGCAATAGGATAAATGGACCTATGGTCTCTCTGCATGTACTCAGTCTTTTTTCTTGTATCACAAACAGATCAGCATAATATAATTTTTCTCATATTGCAAAATTAGCAAAATTAGTCATTTAAGGCAGAGCATACTTTCTTTTTAATGAAGTTTATTGTGTCGGTTCATAAGCTCATATGTACTGACATAATAAATGTCCAACCATAACTTTTTGGTTCTGTGTATGTATATAATAATTCTTTTATTAAATAAAACCAAATATTTCAGTGACAAGGCCGCAAAAAAAGATACTGAAGAAGAACAGAGAAGTAGTACTCTGAAAATTAAAAAGAAAGCCAAGGGCATTTCTTCTGAATCTGTTAAAATACAACCAACTTCAAAACGGTATGGGTTACTTATTTTTCTTCCTTAATTTTTTTTAAATTTTTATTTTCTGTATCTACAGTAATTATCACCATAATTAGTATTTGGTAATGTCAATTAATTATATTTTTCTTGTATTAGACAGTGTTGTCATACATGTTTAAAATGTGCTCATTCATACTAGTTTATAGCTGTTTAAAATGGGTGATGCTGTTTATTTCTTTCTAGGAAAACATCAAGAAGGTCTAAAGACATTAGTGAAAGTTCGTCAGAGACCGAGGAAGATGAAGAACAGCCTGTACGTCGTCAAGAAGGAAACGCTGATTTGCCATCAGAATACTGGGGAATTCAGAAACTTTCAAAATATATAAAGGTAAAGAGAAACCTTGACAATTGACAGATTTTATGAAAAAAACAACCACAAGCTACTCTTTACCTTCTACACCAGACTAGCTCTTCACACTTTCTACTTTCCATATATTTTAGAACAGCCTTGCTATGTAATATGATAAAATCCTGGAACTGTGGACTTTCCTATCACCCACCCATTTCTTCTGCATTTTTTTAATCTGCTATTTTTGGCTTATATAGACCCTTAGATTAAACCATCTGTTCATAGTTATTTAAAACTTAAGATGGTATAATTTTTTATTAATTATTTCATTTCTGTTTTGCTTTTTGGGTGAAACTTTCCAAGATATTTCTTTATGCAGATAATAACTTTCAAGAGTTTTTCTTAAAACTGAATACTTGCCTAAAGTCTTTCATCAACTATGATTAATGCATGACTGAAGTAATTCTAATATGATCTTGTATCTGGATAGATGCTGTTGATAAACAAGAAAATGTATGATAAACAGGTGTCCTCTAAAGCAACAAAAAAAGGTTTTTTTACACAGACTTGTTGAAAATCTTTTGGAACTTAAAAATATAGATGTTTAGAACTTTGTGTAAGTCTGAAACGCGTGAAAAAACCTACAGCCTTCTACTATTCTTGAAAACTCTAAAACTAATTATGTTTGTCCTTCAGTAGAAATTCCTTTACAAGTTTGTAGTGGAATTTATGTACTGTAAGTTACTAATAAAAGTTCTGGTTTATTTGTTTTTTGAGTATGGCTACAGAGTATCCGACTGATAAAATGATGGTACTGGCATGTGGTGCAGCAGAAATACTTGCGAGGAATAAGCAATTCTTCTGCTCCTTCCAGTCATTTAACCATTGTAGAAGAGTAACTCGGTCTTTTAAACAGTTTTCAGTGTACTCACACTGTTCTCAGTTTGTGAATGTGGGACCTGTGATTGTGGTTGTAGCCAAAGAGACACAGAAAAGCATGGATAAAAGCATGGATAAGTCTCTCTACAGTTCTCTGTGCCTTATATTTTCTAGGTTGGACCTCTATATTCCTGCCATTTTTGGTATGCTAAAATAATCCTTCAGAACTGTAATCTGATGTAACATTCAGCATGTAACTGGCTCAGCTATCTGCTAATGCTGAATGCACTCTATATACTTTTTGCATTATACAAGTGTTTCTATTTGCATATAATTACAGTTCAAAGTGTTATTTTCAAATCTTTCAATCTACTAATAGCTTGCTTCTGTCTGTTTTATGGACCTCTTCATACGTTTCTGAGAACTTAGAGAAATAACCATGCTACTTTTTAGTAAAGACCAAAGGTTGTATTTCATTACTGTTGATGAACTCCCAGTAACCTCTTCCCTGGCCCATCGTATGGACCACCCTCTTTACTGACAAGGCTCTCCTGTCCTGGTTACATAATTCTTAAACTCCCTTTCCTCTCTAAATCCTTCATGTAGTCATGTTTAGATTTTAGTATTGTACTTGATCAAATACTGAAATATATCTACACTTGCATGAAACCATTCTGAATGAGTGAGAATGACAAATAGGAAAATGTATTTTTCATACTCCTCTGTTTTAGAAATGAGTATATTTTGTTCCAGCTTGTAACAAGAAAAATTACTTAATGGCTTAGAACTAGAAAAAGAAAGGGGACCATTTTTGATAAAATTGTCAGTGCCTGTTAGGAAGTGTTTAGAATACAAAATTCCATCATATGAAAAAGTTTTGTTATGAAAATTCAAATATATAGTTGGTTGTGTATTCATGCACACCTAAGTCTTGCAATAGTTCTTTAAATTAGATATAAATTAAAGTACTTGAACATATACTTAAAATAGTTCTCTGCTAATTCTTAGCTACATAAAGCAAGAAATCCCTAGTGTCAGATAAAGCTGAAAAAAGATGCCTCAGTGCCATACCACAGACAGTGGTTGAAATTTTTTATTGATGGAGTGCTACTTCAGCTTGCACATGGAATTCATTTTAATTCAAGTATAAATACTGCATTTCTGGCTAGACTTAGGAGATTCTTTGGCATTCTTGTTGTTCATGTAGGCAAGTGTTCATGACACATGCAACTTAAGAGAAAATAAATTTATGACTGTAATATTTATCATCTACAAGTATATTTATATAGAAGCACAAATTTCAGAGGACTTGTGTGTCTCCAAAGGTTGTACGCGTTATTTGCAGATCTTAAAAAAGTCATAAAATGCCTTAAATAACAGATGTTTGAGATACCAAGTTAGAAAATGTAATGATTAGAAGGTACAACCATTTTTTAACATCTTCTAAAGTGAACGGGAACCACAGTTCAGCAAAAGTCTATAAAAGATCAATTTGCAAATGCAAAACTTCCATAAAACCTTCAGGATACGTGGTTTTTGTACCAATGTTAGACTGACATTAAAACTTAAAAAGGTGGTTGCTTCCTATATGAAGCAGACTTGCCAGATCCTGTGAGTTGTGCCTGTAGGCTATGTATTTATGTACCTCTTCACGGAGAGAAAATTCCAGTACAGGGGAAATTCCCGTCTGACTTTTTGCCCTTCTCCGTTCCCCCTCCTTTCTGGGAAAGAGCAGCCATGTTGGAATTGCTCCACTGGGAAGCAGCTGCTTCTGTGGTCTGGCTCCTCGTCTTACCTTCCGCTTCCCAGGGCTGTGAAACAGAAGATCGAGCATGAGTTCTCTTGCCGTGTCTTCCCATCAACTTAAGAAAGGGCAGCAAAGACTGATCAGTGAGCTTGGTGATGGTGTTGTGTTAGGTATCTTTTGGGGCTGGAGCAGATAAAATTGGAATAAAGTGCTCTGTTGATATTTGTAACAGTGAGATTCACTCAGGGAGCCTGCTTCAGATTTCTCATGATTTCTTAAAGTAGTGCTTGTGAAGTATTAGATTTTGAGAGGAAGGACTACATTTTACATGTGAAAATTTTTAGGAATAGGGTGAAGGGGTCACATTTTACAATGATTTTACTAGAAATGGGAAACATCGGGTAGAAAGGCAAAATATTCTTTGTGGCAGAGCTGGGGCTGTTCACTGAAAAAAAGAGAAGAAAAAAAAGGCTAGCTGGGCACAATGCTTTGTGCTGCCTGCTGTTGAGCACTGATTATTGTGAGTTTTAAAATAAAATTGAGATGCTGAGAGGTGAACTGCGGCTGGTGAGTGTGCCAGAAGTAACTCCAATCTCCAGAATAAGTCTTTAATCCCTTAAGCGCTTGTGCTGCTCAGATTTGGTTCTCTGTAAGAGTGTGATTTATTGGTACTGAGCTCTGGATAGAGTTCTGCAGGACCATGTCAGCTACAGAATTCTTCCTTCAGTTTCTTACCTGGAAAGTCATTCTACTTTTGGCTATATTTCAGGGGCAAACTAGTGAAACCAGTCAAGTCTCACACCTCCTGTAAAATATCCACTAATTTTGTATCTGTTTTGAATTACTCCAGGTGAAACGACCTCATTCCCAGAACAGCATTGTGTTTCTTTTCTATTGGGAATGATAGGTGGACAAATCTGCTGTCTCTGACCAGCTGTTTGCATCTTGTGCCAGGTCCAGGAGCTAGAGGAAGGCTATGGTGCTGCACAGGATCTAGGAAGGGTGTGCCCTGAGTATGGCCTTGAACACCAGCTCCTGGGTCCTTGTATGTGTTGGTCCTGCATTGCAGTGGTTGACTGGGAAGGGAGAACATCTGTCACATGACTAGGTGAAATCTCGTTGATTGCACAAGGAAAAGGTTGAAAGAACTGCTGGATACACTGGGTATATTCACGTCTGCTCCACAGCTGCATTTTGGCAGGCCTTTGGAAGACTCTTGCATTCAAGCAACATTTCTGTAGCTGGCAGGCGCCTCTGTATTGGGCTTATTTTACATAAAGATGGCAAACAGACGAGGGAGGCAGGGAGGCAGAAATATACAAGAGTATTTCTTCTGGTCTTTGCCTCTTCTCTTTTCTTTCTCTCCAACTCCCTCTAAAAGTCCTCACTTATTTCTAGGCAAGTGGGTCAAGGAAATGAAAGTCTTAAGAGCTATGGGTCTAGTTCTTACAGTGCATGTGTTGCAGTGAGTATTGGCTGGACAAGACCTACTGCCCATCACTTCTACTTCCCCTTTGCAGTGCGAGCACAGCTAAGCCAGGAGGATGTAGTGTGGCTGCTGCACCACAGGCAGAGTTATTTCCTTTTCTCAGGAAGCTCAAATTTGTCTGCTAGAGAAAGGCAGCTGTGTGTTGGCTTGCAGGAAGGAATAGTGAATCCTCAGCTGAGTTCTTTGTACATGGAAGACACTGGCATTCTTGGGGAAGAGAGGTACAGATTAGAAATGCAGAAAGTCAAATAGACAATGAAAAGATGCAGGAAGGCCCAGATGCAGGATCTTAAATTAGAGATTCATGTAGATGTTGATAAATGGTATGGGATAGTTTTATTCCCCAGGAAAAGTCAGGGAAGCATCTGGAGGTTGAATTTAAGGGCTTGGGGTAAACCAAAGTGCAGGAAATCCATGTATTCCAAGGTAGGAATGTGGACAAGGAAGGTCCAAACTGTTACAGAGACAACCTATTTCAGTACATTTGAGGACCAAATCTTAAATGGCAGTTGCATGTGTGTGCTTGTGAGGGAATTTTTTTGCGCTCTGTATGCAAGGTTTGCAATGTCACATTTCTCTACTTGGAGAGGAAGGAGGAGGGAGTCAGCAACTGCTTGCACATTTCCTTAGTATGCATGAATATAAAGTCAGTCACAGTTCAAAGTGAAACTTGTCATATCTGACGTCTAAGGTTTTAGATATCTGAAAAATAGGTATGTTTCTCATAAAATTTCATGACAGAAAACATCCAGCCTTTCAGAATAAAATATTACTTTCCTATGCAAATGAAAATTGTGCAGCAGTCTCAGCCCTCCTGTGGTTTAACAGGTGGTGTATATAGCAACTCTTTCTTATGAATCAATTATAAATTTGTGGCACTTGTGAAGACATAGATGTGGCTTGTAGATTTTTCTCAAAATTTGT